TTTGTTTTGTTTTGCTGTTTCTCTTTCTCTGTTTGTTGTTGGTGCTGGGTCGGCGTTCTTTGTTAATTAAAAAATATATTTTAATTAATTTAATTTAATTTAATTTAATTTATTTATTTATTTAATATATTTACTATTTTGTTTTATTTTATTTGTCTTCCTTCTCTTTTCTTGTTCTTGTTATATCCACAGTCAATAGACGAACGATATTTAAATATGTTTTAATTAATTAATTGTTTATATTATTATTTAATATTATATTATTATATAATATTATATTATTATATTATATTTACATTGTTTATTTAAATTTGTTTTGTATTTTATCTTCATTCAGTATACTTCAATCCGTAGAAATACATTAAAATAATTCTTTTTATATAATTTATTTAATACATTTAATATATTTATTTAATATAATTATATTATTTTATTTATTTGTTTTCTTCAGCTAACAGAACAATGTAATTTATTGAATTTGAAGCATCGAGCTGCGCAGACAGCTGCTCGGAACTCAATAAAATTTTATACATATTTATATTTTATAAATAAAGGAGAGACAGAGGCGACTGCAGTTATAACAAAAATAAAAAAAAACGGCGCTCTGCTCTATGTACCCGACTTGGGGCTTGAGGGTGCGTTTATTTGAACTGTTTGAATTGTTTGATTTGTTTGATTGTTTGAATTGTTTGTTTGATTTGTTTGTTTGAATTCTTTGATCTGTTTGATTGTTTGTTTGATTGTATGATTGTTTGTTTGATTTGTTTGTTTGATTTGTTTGATTTGCTTGATCTGTTTGTATGATTTGTTTGATTTGTTTGATTTGTTTGATTGTTTAATTGTTTGATTTGATTGATTTGTTTGTTTGATTTGTTTGATTTGTTTTATTTGTTTGTTTGATTGATTCATTCATTGATTTTTTGTTTGGTTGTTTGTTTATTTATTTATTTATTTCCTTATTCTTTTTCTCTTTCTTTTTCGCTTTATTTGTGTATCACTTCGATGTTTAGTTGTTTGGTTTTGTTTTTTAATGCGTTTGATTTAATCTGTCTTCTTCTGCTTTTGTTTCTTTTTAATTTTGTTTATTTATCATCTGCTTACTCTTTGTTTTATTTTTTTGTTTATTCGTATTCTACTCGTTTTCGTTTTTGTTGTATTTGTTTATTAGGCCCCGGTCTGCTGCAGCTTCATTTGTTTGTGCATTATATATATATATATATATATATATACAAATATATATATATATATATACAAATATATGTATATATATATATTATTTGAATGTACATTGATAAATTATTTGCTTTTTGTTTAATCTTTTCTTCTTGTGTAATACTTTTTGAATTATTTGTGCGTTTGCAATAAATTGTTTTTCTTTTTAAATATTTTTTTGATTGTTTCATTTAAAAGCAAATGTTTATTCTTCTGCTGCATATATTCTTTTCTTTTGTTTTTCTTTTAGGGGTTTTATTTGCTGAAGATAATTTAATTTATATCCCTCAAACTAACGAATTACAAACAACAGACAAAACACAAAAATTCGGCGTCCTGTCCAAAATTCGAATTTCCATCGCCGCTGCAGGCACCGCCAACTTCAGGTGTACAGACACCCCAAACCCTAAACCCTAAACCCTAAACCCCAAACCCTAAACCCCAAACCCTAAACCCTAAACCCCAAACCCTAAACACTAAAACCCTAAACACTAAACCCTAAAGCCTAAACCCTAAAGTGTAAATGCTAAAGCGTAAAGGGTAGACACTAATCCCTTATACCCTAGACCCTAAACACTAAACCCCAAACCCTAAACCCTTAACACCAAACCCTAAACCCCTAAACACTGAATTCTAAATTGTAAACCCTAAACCCTAAAAGGTAAACCGTAAAGTATAAACCCTTGAAATACACCTCAATAAACGCAAATAAATATTTATTTGCATTTATGCATGCATTTGTTTTCAGGCCGGCAATTAAAATACGGTTTTTGGGGCTGGCGGACTGACGAAATAAATTATATTTATTTTAATTAATAAATTGATAATTTGTTTACTTTAATTAGTAAATTATATTTAGCCTTTGTTTTATTTTTTCTTTGTTTTTCTTTTGTCTGTTCGCAACTTCCTTTCTTCTTTGTTTTTCTTTCTTTCTCCACTAACGAAAAATAAAACGTATCTGAAAAACTAAAGCGTATTATACTTTGTTGCTGCTCCTAGAGCTGCTGCTGCTGCTGCTGCTGCCGCATGCAGCAGCAAGGCGTAGTCTCTCTAATTTCCTTCGCTGTTCTCTGCTTAGCAGCTGCCGAGTTGAAGGCGAGAGACTGCTGCAGAGATGCATAAAAGAAGAAGCCTCTGTTGTGCTCTTTAAATATGAACGCCACGCCTCTATAAACTGGTGAAACTGAAAAAACGAACAAACAACACCACCGTCACCCGCAGCAACCTGCTGCTGCTGTTGCTGCTGCTGCTGCGGGTCGTCCCTGCTGTTGTAGCTGCTGCTGCTGTTGCTGCTGCTGCGGATTGTCTCTGCTGCTGCTGCAAAATGCATTCGAAATTCGTTTCTAAGAAACGAAGAGGCAAAGGAATGCTGGGGGGAGGTACTCAGCAGTCGTCTATGCTGACGCACAATATTTCGGTATAAGTGTAAAGCCTCCTGCAATTGCTCCAGGGTTGGCGCCTGCTGCTGCTGCTGCTGCTGCTGTTGCTGCTGCTCTTGCTGCTCCTGTTGCTGTTGCTCCTGCTGCTGCTGCACGCAATGCATGGGAGCGGCTGAGGAACTGCTACTGCTGAAGCTACGGTGTCTCGACGCCGTATCTGCTGCTGCTGCAGCTGTTGTTGTTGTTGTTGCTTGTAGCAGTGGCGTTCCTGCTGTTGTTTGTTTGAGTAGCAAAGTGTTTAGGGGTTTATAATATCTGCAGGAGAATCTGCATGCGGCAGCAAAACCGCAGAAACCCTTAACTCCCTCCATAGGCAGGAGGAGAGTGTCTGTGTTGTTGTTGGGGGGAAATCAACGAATAAATTCAATAAATGCAAATTTTAGATGCTTCATATTCGCGAAAACCTCAGAAAAAAGAATTAATTTACTAATAATTGCGGTTTATCAGCTCTCGGTTTCGTCCAAGAGTACAACAGCGCAGCTGTCAAGGATCGGCAGAAAGAATAAGAAAAATAATGAGTAATTGGAGACAAAATGGGTATTTGAACAAAAACCAACAAATATAAATAAATACACAAGAAAAAATAACAATAAATAAAACAAATTGAGTTGAGAAGTAAAGAAAAGAATAAATGAGAAACGACGCCCGAAGGAAACGATGCGCCGCCCGGCTGAGGTGTACATACACCTCAAGAACGAGAAAGAAACAGAAGAATTAATTTTTTTATTTAAATAATTTCATTTTATTTATATTCATGAATGCATTTACTTCTAATGAAACAACCTCTTACTGCTTCTGGTAGCTGTTGGTGCATGCATAATAACATCGGGTTTTCTCCCTGTCGTGAAAATGAGTTTATTAAAAAAGGTTTAGACATAATTATTTTATTCTATTGTTTATATATATACACATATATACATACATAAATATAGATATATATATTTATGTATTTGCTTCGCCGATAGTCCACACAGCACTTAACTATTTGCAACATATTTTATAAAATAATACTTCACCTCTAAAGAAATTAAAAAATCATTCACTCCAGCAGAATAACCGTATATCTTTATTACATAAAGATATATACATATATATATATATGTATATGTATTTATTTATATATTTGTTCATGCATATTTTATATATGCATCTACCTACTGTTGAAAATGCAGAAAAAAGATGAGTGAATTCTTCTTAGGAATCGAACGCGTGCGGCCGTCAGCGCGTTTATTTGTTTTCGTTTTTCTTCTCCTTTGCCTTTAAGTAAAGGAAAAGGATATAAAGCAATGAAAACCAACTGCAACAAGCAGACACCTTATTTTTAATTATTTACCTTTGCTTGTAAGCTCAATAATACAAAACAAATATTTGAATTCGTTTTTTGTCTACACCGCCGATGAGCTGTATCTTCTTCCGCGCACTCCACCCATCTGTCTATCTACCTATTTGCTTGTCTATTTATCTATTTACTTATCTACTTATCGATTTACCGATTTATCTGTTTACTCTTCTATCTATTTACGTATCTGTTTTCCTATATATATATATATAAATAATAAAGTAAGCTTATATGTGCACAGGCCTACGCCCCCTATATAGAGAAGATAATAAGGTAAATACCTTCGCAAATCAATGAATATTAACGACTCCGTTTATGTTTATTTGTTTATTACTTTTTACTTCGCTGCACTTGCAAAGAAAACCCAAATAAGCAGTGTTTTCTTCGCAGTGCAAAAACAAAAAAAGAAAATTCACCAGGCAGATCTCCGCGCACTAAAAAAAAACGAAAATATCTCTATTATATATATTTATACGTATATGTATATACACATATATGCATATATATAATATATATATATATATATATATATATATCTATATAATATGTATATACACATATATGTTTATATATATACATCTAAATATATTTATATATATACACATAAATATATATATATATACAGGTATATACATACATGCATATATACATAAATATATATATATATATATATAGATGTATATACATATGTCTGTTGAGATGCATATATCCACATACATACGCAGTCTTTCGGTTTTGTTTTTGCATTTGCTGCGGAGAGAGAAAATAAAAAGAAATAATCAAAGAGAAGATGGCTTCATAGAAAATAATAATGAAGAAAGAAGAAGAAAAGAAAAAAAATAAATTTTATGTATTTATATCTGTATAAATAATATATTTAAGTAAACCGCATTAACTTGCTGCTGTTATTATATCAAATTTTTTTTTAAAGTTTTTATTTTGCTTCTCTACCTCGCCTCTCCTTTCCTCCGTCTCTTTATTTAATTATATTTTATCTTTATTTTTTTAATTTAAAAATTAGATTCTCGAGAAACATCTTCTTCGTCTTTTGCATATTCTTCAGTGTACATCTTCGCCATTGAACGAAAACCCCGCAGGTCGCCGCTGCGAATTAAATTGCCTAATAAAAAATAAATTAAAAATAAACAAATAAAATAATAAATAAAATTAAATTAATTCATCAAAATACAATACTAATTAAAATAATATCCTCTAACATACTACAAACAAAGACAACACAAAATATACAACGTCATACAAACCAACCGATCTAAGCTTTACGCATCTGTCTGTCTTTAATTATTTTTATTTTTAATTATTTTTAATTATCTTTAATTATTCTAAATTATTTTTGTTTCTAATTATTTTTAATTGCAATTAATTACATCTAATTTCTTTTAATTTCCTTTTATTGTATTTTTTTTCTTTTAATAGTATTTCATTCTATTTTAATAGTATTTAATTTGTTTGAACAGCATTTAGCATCTATTTAACCAAACTAACTTATTTTAAACAGTATAACATGTATTCATTCAAATTAAATTTCTTTTTAATTGCTTACCTGCATCACAGTTAAGAGGACTATCAGGGTTTGGAGAATCAAGAAGAGAAGTCAGAGCAACACAAACAAAATGCAAAGACCAAGCAGGCGTCCAACCCTCTCGAAGTATATCGATGCACACGGCGCCTGAGGCAATCGATACACCGCAAAATATTCATAACTCTATTTAATGTAATTAAAATAGCAAATATACACAAGAAGATGTAAACAAACTCAAAAACATCACAACAAAAGAAATGTAGACGGCCCCCACAGACAAACAAATGCAAAAAAAATATCTTAAGGCGACAGCAACAGCAAAAAAAACAAAAGAAAACAAAACAAGAAAAACAAAACAAAACATATAATTAAATAATAATAAATATAATTAATCGACTATAATTATTTATATATAATTAATTAAATATAATAATTGAAATATAATTAAATATTTAAATAATTCAAACCTGTTTTAAAATCAATGTTAGGGTGGAAGCCAGCATAAAGAGGCAAAAAGAAAAGAAAATAAGATAAAATTAATCGACTGCAATTAATTATACATAATTAATTAATCAATTAAATATAATAAACAAAATATAATTAAATATTTAATTGATACAAACCTGTTTTAAAATCAATGTTAGGGTGGAAGCATTTTGTTTGCATTACAACTTGAGGCGGCACCAGAGGATAAGTCGGAGGGCAAATAATCTGCAGCTTCCAGCGGCCTCCCTGAAAAGCAAATTAAGAACAAATTTAATTTAATTTAATTTAATTTATTTAATTTAATTTAATTATTTCGAATTTAGAAAAAAAAAAGAGCTAAAAAACGATAGGTAATATGACATATTACTGCTCCGCTGTACGCGCAGACACCCGATTAAAGAAACAGCAAAAAAAGCATAAATAAAAAACGTAAATAAATAAATAATTTTATTGATTTACTAATAAATATTTATGTATTAATATATAAATAAAAGCATTCATCTACTTCTAGTTTTCGTTTGCTTATTACTATTTATATTATTAATAAAAATAGAGCATTGAAAGAAAAAATAATTAAAAAGCAAACAAATGAAGTTTATACACTGCAAGCAGAAATAAAGAGAAGACAACGCGAGCGAAAAACAAAAGCAAACAAAAAATTAAAATTAAAATAAAACCAAAATTAAAATAAAATAGTATGAATATAACTAGAGACGAAACCCAAGACAGACAGAGCAAAAACATCAATCTAAAATAATGCAAACAAACAAAAACAAATAAACAAAAACAAATAAACAAAAACAAATAAACGAAAACAAATCAAAAAAAGTAGACAAACAAACAAAAACAAATAAGCAAACAAACAAACAAACAAACAAACGCGAGAAGAAAAAGAAAACGAGGATAAATAATACAGAAAATAAACGAGTAGAAACAAACGAACAAAGACAAGACAAATGAAAATAAACAAAAATGAATTAAATTAAATTAAAAATAATAAAATTAATACTTGATAAGGCGAGCCCTTAGGCCCCTTGATGTACGCCGTCCATCGATGAATGTCTGTTTCGCTGTACAAGCATAAAAACAAATTAAATAAATTAAATTAAATTAAATTAAATTGAGAATAGATAAAATAAAATAAATGCATAACAAATAGTATAAAATAAATTGTAGACAAAAGAAAATGAAGAATAGAATTATATAATGTATTTAAAAAATTAAAACGCAAAATTAAATAATATAAACAAAACAAATAAAATCAAGCAAAGAACCTCAGATAAAAGATGCTAATATTCAATATTTAAATAAAAAATAATAAATATTTAATTAAAGCAATTAAAACAATAAAGAAGTAATTAATAAAAACAACAGCTTAAGAGTTAAAATAAAGGATAAATAATAGCAGTAGACAAAATAAAGAATAAATAAATAAATAAACAATAAATAAATAAATACATACACAAACAATAAATTAAAAAAGAATAAATAAATACAGAATAAATAAATAAATAACAACAAGAAAAAGAATAAAGAAATAAAGCATAAATGAATAAAGATTAAATAAATAAGCAT